TCTCCTCCTCCTTCTTTGTTAAAAGTCTCCTCTTCAGATAATTTTCAGTTGGTAGTTTAGGGTAATTGTTCCCCAATTTAGTTTTATTTCCAATTTGGTTCAGGGAGGAGGTGTGAAGAAAATCTACCTACTCTGCTACCATTTTCAGGTTTTTCTGTTTTTATTATCCTATTTAATCTTCACAGTAGTTTGTGAAGTAGCCATTAAGTGTCCCACTTTACCTGGGAATTTCCTGGCAAGGTATGTTGTGACTGTTTTAAGTAAGTGCATGAGTCCAGGTCTGTCTCTGTCCCTCCTCTTTCCCTTTACGCGTGAATGAGCATGATGCTTGAATGCCACAGCTATGTTGTGCTGAGGGTGCAGTGAGGAGACCCATTATATACAGTTGTGTAGATTTCTTCAGATTGATTCTGTGGCCTGCAAACTAACATAGAGAACATGGACAATAGGGATGACTAACATTGGGGAGTTCAATGTGGTGAATGATGTTTATGAGTGGAACGTGGACATGGAAGTCACTGGGGGCCAGTTCTATGCAGTTGGAAGGAGATGAGGGGAAGATGAGCCAAAAAAAAGTATGCACAATACAAACTGCCATGTATGATCCCATTTATTTCAAATTATATGTTTGGAGGTGTGCATGAAGCATGCATAAAGAATTGTATAATAGGATGGTTATTAAAATGGCAGTTGTGGTTATCTCATTGGGTGATTACAGATGATTTATTTTAGAGTTTTTTTGTTGTTGTTGTTATTTTTTACTTTGAATTGTGTGTTCTTTGCAGTTTAATAAAAACGTGTGATTGTATAACCAGAAACAACAACACAGCTACTTTTGTTGTGTGAAAAACAACTTGTTAAATGAATTCTTGTTTATAGAAGTAACTCAGAAAGGGATTAGAATTTTTATCCTTTGCTGACCTGGTGAGGAGCTGATTTGTACTTTTCCCATTGATTTGTTAATACTGCTAACTGCAGTGAAAAAGTTGAAGAGGGGTGGATCTAACAAACAGGCTTTTGAATTAGGTTCCATATCTTAGCTCTCTCCTACTGTACTCTCTTCCTGGAAGTCTCAGTGACTCTCAGACTGAGGGTTTTGTCTTCTAATTGCAGGAAAGTGTCTAGCTTGCACCCAGATAACCTGGTAGTGCTAGTGAGGCAATTCCCTTTGTCAGCAGCCCTCAATCAATGATGGATGAGAGTTAGTGGGTAAATATCCCAGCTTTCTTGCCCATGGGTAGGTCACATTTCAGGTTTATACATACAAGTCCAATAGGCCTTACCTCCCCTGACTACATCAGTGCACCTCACATTAGCTTCTCTTCCCGTTTTACTTTCCACTTCTCTACCAGCACTTCTTGGTATCACAGCCCTCAAATTCTTGTCTCGGGTCTTCTTCCAAGAGAAACCAACTTAAAACAGGGTCCCAGTACTATTTATCTGCCTCCTCCTATGACTGTGGACAAAGAACTCACCTGCTTTCTTGTCCTCAGAGCACAGAATAGGCTCAGGAACCTACTGGAAGTGGTATGTCATGTGAGCACTTAATATTTGCAGTGGTGAAAACAAAATGGTGAATGTTGACAAAGAAATGCTTTTTCTCCTCTTCCCATCCTGCTGCTGAGTGAGGAACTTGTGACAAAATGACCCATAGCCCTGACTCATAGACCTGCTTCACAAATGTTCTGAAGTAGGCCAGTCACCCGGCCATAAGTGGCAAATTCCTTCATGAAGTTCTGTCTTTGAGCAACAGCGATCTTATCCACCCTCTGTCCTCATCTGCAAGTCATCTTTCTGTTTCTTGAGCCAAATTTCAAAGGGCTTAAGTGGCTTTTCTATTTTACTGTGCAATGTAGTGCACATACTCAGTGGCTCATGGCTGTGCGGCTGTTGTTGAGGGCATGTGGTAGATTTCATTCTTAACTGAAACACACACCAAATTGGCTGTGTGGACCCTCCAGCTGAGGGCTAAGCGAACCCAAAGGCAAACGGTTGGAGTGAATGTGAACCTCTGTATGTTGGTGCTTCTGACTGTGGTCGAAAGGCACATAGGGAGGCTGCCTTTGACGACAGCCTTGTAGGCAGCCGACTTTCTCCCTACACATCTCTGGGTCAGTTTCCTGAGATGTAGTGCCTGAGGCAGTGTGACTTGTTTAAGGGGAGGCCAGGGATGGGAACTTGGAGATCATTGTTGTTCTTAGGAAGAGCCCGCTCTCACTACTTGGGGGCCATTCTTTGATGTTTCTCCTCCTCCTGACCACGTCCTCCTCCGCCCCCCCTCTTCTTTATCTTTGTCGCTATCTTCTTTGAAGGAATCCATTTATTAAAGTATTTTTAAATCACTAGAATGTTTACTTCTAGCACCAATCTTAGTTTATTTTTCAAAAACCATTTTTAAGATGTGAGTGGGGATTAAAATTCATGAGTAGCACAACATAGATATCAGACAGACCTTGTTGAGAATGTTGCCATGGGGAGGCAAGAAACAGTTACAGGGATGCAGGAGAAATTAATGGGCCAGATTTCCCAGATATGAGTGGGAATGATCCTTGTGATATCTACAGAAAATGGATTTTCTAAGATTTGCATGGGAGGATGGGATGTGGAAGAAGATTTCATTTGCATGGAATTATATTCCTCAGGTTGTAATGTCCCATTTCCCCAAGCCAGTCCTGGAAGAGGAGCAGCTGGGAGTTCAGCAGAGCCAGAAGCAGGGCCAGTGTCCAGAGTTTTTGTTCCATGTTGCAGCCAGTGTGGTTTAGTATTCAGGCCAGATTACAGTTCATCAGTCCATGTGTGCCATGTACATACAGGGGAGAGCATCCCCCTGCAGCAGGAGACAGACAGAGAGAGAGAGAGAAGGCTTCTGTGGTTTGGAAGTTTAAATATTCAGGTTTCATGCACTTGCACTGACCAGTCCATCCTGACCACTAATTTGTTCCCAGATATGACTGGCAGACAGGTAGGCTCCTTTCCACCTCACTCAGACCTTACTGGGCATGCATCTAAACTGCCTTTGTCTAATCCAGCAGTTCTCAACCTGTGGGTCGTAACCCTATTGGGAGTCGAATGACCCTTTCACAGGGGTCGCCTAAAACCATCGGAAAACACATATATAATTACATATTGTTTTTGTGATTAATCACTATGCTTTAATTATGTTCAATTTGTAACAATGAATTTGGGGGTCACCACAACATGAGGAACTGTATTAAAGGGCCGCGGCATTAGTAAGGTTGAGAACCACTGCTCTAGTCTCTTCCCCCATTAATCAGCAGGGAATAGAAGCGGAGAATGTTAAATGCAGCTTTTTGGCAAAGCTATATAAATGGCATGCCTATGCTCTCTGGCCTCCCTCTTCCCTCCTTTTCTGTTAAATAAACCAGGTTATTATAATGGCGTCAATAGGACCTGGGTTTAATTTCCAAATGTTTCTTTGGGCAAGTCACTTACTCTCGTTTCTTAGACACTACCCATCTCACAGAGCTGCCAAAGATTGAAGGAAGCAAAAAAGCACATTTTAAATCATGTAGCACTATATAAGCTGCATTGTTTATCTTAGTTGGATTTGGATCTGTATTTTGAGAAAGCATTATTCTAGGAGATCATCAACTTCAGCTTTTTCTGTATAAAATAAATACATTGTATGTTTCTCTTTTGCATTATGTAAGTCTTTATAAGTTTTCTGAAGTTTTATTTTTGAAACATAGACCATGAATGAATGAATGAAATGAATGAATGGGTCAATCTGTGGAGGTATCAAATCCAACATTTCTAATACACTAACAAAGTGTGCTAAGCAAGCAAACAAGGTCAGAAGAAAGGTTTTAGTTTGTGCCTTTGCTTTAAAAATGGCACCAGGTTCTGTGAAATATATGAACAGAAAAATATAATCCTTTTGCCTCTTTTCCTAGTTCTGCCTAAAATCATTAACTTCTTTCAAATGTATGAGCCAGAGGTTTAAAAAGAGGATTAACAAATACAAGAACTTATGTTATTAACAGTCTTCAGAAGTGAGTGGCCCTAAGCAGAGTACAGTGATCTTTTGGTAAACCCTGCTTCCTGTAGAAAAGAAAGAAAATCAAATCATCAGCATAATAGAAGAGTAAATCAGATGCACATTTCCTTGCAGACTAACTTCCCCTTCTTCAACTCGCCTCTTTTTGCTGTTTGTGCTGCCTGCACCTGGCCTCCTCACACCCAGGGACTGAGTTTTACAGACCTCAGTATGGAGATATCTTCCCTGTATTGATTGTCACCTGCCTGACGGGCTCAGTCAGTGGTTTGGGGAGAATGAGGGCAACATATTCTGGATTGGGGTTCCAGTGCGTAGACCTGGTTACAAAGGTTTGGTTTGTACTTAACCCCCTCCAACAGGCTGAGGGGGTGCCTCAGGACAAAACTGGAAGCCACACTCTTTTCTTGAGGGTGGAGAAACATGCAGCTCTGCTACTACTAGCAACCTAATGAAATGGTTTTTCCTAAGGTCACCAATGAGGTTTTCATTTAAAATCTGGGACTTTACTCCAAACGCCCAGATACTTAAATTCATTAGCCATTTCAAAGAGGCATGTAGTAAACAGGAAGTGCTCTAATGAAATTGGGCATACAGTGTCCACCTCAGGACCCACGTCATGTGAGATTTGACCAGTTTTTTTGGTAGACTTTATAGAGAGTGGTATATTTGAGATGAACTGAATAGGGATGAAAGAACCAAATTATTCAAAGAAATAGCCCTGAGGGAAAGTGGTGACAGGCAAAAGAATCAACAGAAGATTAGTTTTTATTTTTTTAAGAAAAATACTTAACTACCCTAGGAGTGTCACACAAGCATGTTTAATTCCAAACATCTGAACCTAGCAATGGTGGGAAATGTGGATAGGTTGAATGGAAAAAACAAAATAAAACAAAAACAGCTTTAAGTTGAAACTGGCTAATTAAAATAGTACATATTAATTTCTGCAATGAAAACTGACCATTATCTTGGTTTCAACTTGCAGCTCCTGGCTAAGTACAAAAGCTTGCAATGGGATAAAGTGCTGCGGCTGGAGGAGGTGCAGACCAACCTGGGGGTCAGTCTGGAAGAAATGCTGTTGATTATAGAGGATGCTCTTCACCCTGAACCCTATAGCCCCGAGGAGGTCTGCAGGTGTCTGGGAATCAGCCTGCAGGAGCTTCAGACCAAAATTCTGAGTCCAAACACTCAGGATGGTGAGTGTGCTGGAGAAAGTAAGAACATGGGTTGTTCCCCCATTCACAGCTGGGAGATTTACAATTTCCGCAAGGATCTCGGTGATTTTGAAGCCTGCTTGAGGGATTTGGAGAATGAGTGTGTTTCGGCAAACTAATAATCTATATTCTTGTCTTCATTAAATTCATTTTTTCACTCATCAACAGACATTTGCTGGTCTGCTGCATGCCAGGTATTCTGGTGAAGCAAAGGTGAATCCTACATTGTCCCTGCCCTCCAGAAGTTCATAATTCCATCAGCATCTCTTTTTTCATCTTTTTTACCCCTCCCTACTCTTCTGATTATTATACTAATTATATAAGAGGTTTAAGTCTGAACAGTGCTGTAACTGCTGTGGAGCACACTCCGGGCACCAGGAAGTCTTGACTGCTTAGGTGAGACTTGTGGCCTGCTTTAGTGTGGAAGCTCCTTCTGTGTGCATGCTGCTTTCAGGTAATTTTGTTTTATACTGATAACATCAGATACTGACATGAAGGCCAGGTAAACGTTGGAGGTATAGGATGGAGCCTTAGAGTGTCTTTTCTTCTTAGAAGTAAAGGTTGTTTATTTGTGGGAAGTCAATGCTGGGGGCAGGGACATCTAGGTCAGATCCAATAGTTTCTTTTTTTAAAAAAAAATCATCTGAGAGAGAGAAGGAAGGAGAGAAAGAGGAAGGGAGGGAGAGAGGGAGGGAGGACAGGAAGGAGAGAGAGAGAGAGAGAGAGAGAGAGAGAGAGAGAGAGAGAGAGAGAGAACATTGATGTAAGAGAGAAATATCAATAGGTTGCTTCCCACATGCACTCTGACCGGCATTGAACCCGCCATCTTCTGGTGTATGGGACAATCCACTGAGCCACACAGGCCAGGGCTCCAGTGGTTTCTTGAGGTAGAGTTGGGAGGGTGGGAGCTTAGCACAACGATCAGCCTCAGCGCCCCATTTCCATTCCATTCAATTCAGTTCTGAAATTGAGTGCCTGTAGTGCCTTTCAAGTAATGAAAGGCTGTAACTAGTGACAGCTTTAGGATCAGATAAGGGAATCATTTGAGGGCAGAGAGAAGGCTCTGGTTTCCAACACTGTTAGATCCAGTTTAATTTGATGAACGTTTACTGAGTCTCTAGAACTGGGATGAGCAAGCTGGCCTATAGGCTTAATCAGACTTGCCACCTGTTTATGTAAAATAAACTTTTGCTAGAACACAGCCATAATCGGTCCTGGCTGCTTTTGCACTGCAATAGTACTGTTGAGTAGTTGGGACAGAGACTGAAAAGCCCACAAAAGCTAAAATGTTTACACTCTTACCCTTTGCAGAAAAAGTTGGAGGGCCTCCACACCAGAAAGGCAGTGGACCAAACAGTCTGCCTGGATTAGGATCTTGGGTTTCACTCACTAGATGTGTGACCATTTATCTTAGTTTTACATGAAGTAGGCATAACAGGAATACCTCCCTTAAAGAGTAATCTGTGTACAGTGGGGCCTTGACTTACGAGTGTCCCGACTAATGAGTTTTTCAAGATACGAGCCGTCTCTCGGCTCATTTTTTGCTTTCAGTTGCGAGCTAAAATTAGGCTTATGAGCCAGCTTCAGATACCCCACCGCTAGTTGGCGCAGCGAACATCACAGTGAACGCCACAACATCAGCCCAGCATCACATGTCTTACTCGTTCTCTTTTTGATTTGACATACGAGTAATTTGAGTTACGAGCTTGGTCACAGAACAAATTAACTCGTAAGTCAAGGCCCCACTGTAATGTGCTAAGAACAATGCTTGGTAATGGGGGTGTTAGCTTCCTTTGTTATTTTTCCTTCCCTCTCCTCCCCCACCTCTGCTAGGTCCTGAGGCCGAGCTTGGGAACACAGAGATAAACACAAAGGGGCACCATTCTTAAGGAGTTTACAAAGTAGTGATAGAAACTGATAAGAAAAAGCTGATCCAGCATAGAGTAATGATTGCTGTGGTGGAGGTACGCTTGGGTCTCCAGAGGCCAGAAAAGACAGAAGTCAGAGCTGGCTTTACTAAGGAGATAGCAATTCAACAAAAGTTAGAGAATAAATAAGACTGTCCAATGTAGACAAGCGGTCTGAAAGACTTCCAGGCAGGCAAAAGAGCAGGTGCAGAGGCAGGGAGGAGTGAGAGAGGGTTACATGTCCAGAGAACTACAGCTAGTTCAGTGTTTCTTAGAAATAATATACAGGGTGCGCCTGGCCAGCGTGGCTCAGTGTTTGAGTGTCAATCTATGAACCAGGAGGTCACAGTGAAGAAGTTGGGTAGGACTTTGGATAGGGAGAGTTTCCAGGGAAACAACCTTTATTCTTTAAGACATTCGCCAATTTCTTTAATTCGGCAAATATATATATATTGACTTCATTGGGCTGGGTATTATGCTAGATGCTGGGATACAAAGATAAGTAGGACACGATCTCGACCTTATAGTGACCTAGTGTCAAAGAGGGAGAGTGCCACACAGCCATCACAGTAAACAACCCTCACTGCAGTGAAGGTCTTTGTCAAGAGTCTTGGAGTCTGGAGGAAAGAATGACTGCATGTCTGGAAAATGTGGCTTAAATTTGAGCTGTATCTCAAAGTTACGGACTTCCCAGGCTGAGATAGGTGAGAGGCCATTCCAGGCAGAGAGGAGAGCCTAAGTAAAGACATAGAGACACGGGGAGTGGAGACTTGAAAATGTGCTAAGAGATATTGTGTGCAGTATGATTGGATGCCAAAAATACTGTTTAAAGCACTGGTTCTCAACCTGTGGGTCGCGACCCCTTTGGGGGTCGAATGACCCTTTCACAGGGGTCGCCCAAGACCATCAGAAAACACATATATAATTACATATTGTTTTGTGATTAATCACTATGTTTTAATTATGTTCAATTTGTAACAATGAAATTGGGGGTCACCACAACATGAGGAACTGTATTAAAGGGTCGCGGCATTAGGAAGGCTGAGAACCACTGGTTTAAAGGGATGCCAGTTAAGGGACTAGTATTCTATTCTCCATCACACAATAGCCTGAAAAGGGGTTTGTTGGTGGATATTACAACAGGTAGATTCTCATGACTAGAAAGGAGAGTTCAGTTGGAATTAAAGATTGCCTGTGTCTAGGAAGGAAGGGAGGGAGGAAAGGAAAAAAGAAAAGGAACAGAAGGTAAAGAAGGCCAAAGTATGGATGCTGAGAAAGGCAGGGAATTATAGTATGGGAAATGATCTTGGAGACAACATGATGAATGCATATATCTGTTTGGTGATATGGCAAGGCATCTAAATAAAGACGTAGAACATGTAAAACCCCAACCATATAATTAGATTTTGGAATTTTTGGTAAAGAGGCAAAAAAGCCTTAATAGACATTGAGGATATTCACTATCAAATGATCTCCTTAATGCAGTCTTTTCATGGTATCACTTCTTAGTTAAAAAACCTTTAGAGCCTCACCATTACCTCCTTGCCTAAACTCCTTAAATGGGTGTTAAGTATTTTTCTGATTTGGCCTTAACTTTGTTCTGTTCTGACACCCTTTTGAGTGCATGCTTGCCCACATGGACCATGGTGTCTTGGCTGAACCATTCCATTTACTTATTACATCTTGGTCTTGCCTCTGGGCCTTTAATCCTAAAAATCATTGCCCTTTTCTGGTTGGAATTTCTGAAATATAGTTTCTGCCTATCTTAACAGCTCAATATAACTTTAATCTTTTATTTATTCTTCTTAATCCATAGCCTCTTCTCTTTCTATTTAGCATGTTTTTTAATAAGTTAATTTCCCAGAAAACCTTGGAAAACACAAAGGACAATTTGCTAATCATAGTACATGCATTGCTCTTTATGTATATAATTACATTTTCCCCCTGAAGATAATGATTACATAGTTTTTGTAAAAAATGCTGCATACTAAATCTTACCTCTTTCTCAGCTTGCCTACTGGCCCACTTGCATCACTTTCTATAATTTACTTTTGTTTTGTTTGCATTCATTATATCTGTGTTGAATGAATGAATCCATTTTGTATTTCTCAAAAGCTTACCCCTTTTGCTTTTGGAATGAATAAATTTTAAAAACCTATGAACATAAATTAATGTGTGGGATTTTAGATGATCCTAGATTAATGTCACTTGATTTACTCTCTGGATCCAGCCATCTAACCTCAGCCAAATTTCCAGCTGAATTCTCTTGGCACTCATTTTTAATTTTAGGGATTAAAATCCTTTTATATCTTTGCCTTGTTCCTTCTGAGTTTGTGCTTTGGTTGGTCTAAGACATTAAGCAAGTGTTTCTCTTAATGCTTTGGAAGATGTGATTCTTATTGAATGTGGCACTATATGTATTTAGATTGTATGAATGGAGGCAAAGATGACATATACTTAGTTTTGACATGAACTAATATTCTGATGATGGAAATCCATGCCTTTCTCAAAGGTATGTGGAATTTGATGTTCTCTTAATGCCCAAATTGCTTTCCTTCTTTACCTGGATATGAGTGTGAGTTGGGAGATGTTGACTTTGAGATGACAGTGTAGGGAGAGATGTTTATAATTAAACTGTGGGTTTCATCTTCTACAAAACCATCCAGACTTTCAAAGGCCCATGCACAATTATTATATTCTCTTTCCAAATTTATAATAATTGGATTTAGAAATGCTTAGAGGCCATTGAAATTAAACACACTTACACACACAAAGCAAAATCCTCAAATCCTTTAGATGTTTAGGATGCACACACTCTACCACTGGGAACTTGCTAGGAATAGTTTAAGGATTATGTGTCAGGCCTTGCCCACAGGTAGGAATTACCTAAGGATGTGGTACAAAGTCTGGGTTTCTAGAGGATCAGGGGCCAGGCTGATTTGGAAGAGGTGTGACCTAAGAGGAAAAGAAGCTATGGTCAGAGCCAGCAGAGATGGGCATGTGTATGTAGCACAGGAGATAAGTCAGAAGCGCACACTGGAGGATAAACAAAGGAGCCCATGAGGGACTAAATGG